GAGACTTGGATGACATTTGTGTTATATTGGATGTTGTGGTTATAGTTTACCTCCCCGGCATAGTATAATCCCGTTCTCTTGTTTTCTATTCTATACATAGACTCACAGGGTCATAAGAAGTGTGTCTTAGACACTTCCTACTGAGCTTATGCTCACCCCTTTATTATTAACATTTTTTAGGTCATGGCAAAGAAGTGGCGGACGACAATCCACCACCAGATTAGCCGAGTTGATGGACTTAATCACTTTTGTGCTTAATGTGTATATTAACCCTTTTGTTGTAAAAATTTATAAGGATCATTTTGTATCACCTACATAATTGGAATTGGTCTTGAGACCATTTAATTGTATTTTGTGGTCTCGTCATGATTTCAATACCTATATAAGGCCTAAGGCCATATTTTTAATGTATGACGGTTTTTGCTTAATTTTAATGATGCATCAGACTCGTGTATGGTCTTATTCGATTTTAGAACCAATTGGTAATTTTAGTTTCATCATTAAATGAAGATTTGGGACCGGTTTGGGCTTTAAATTAGGTCACTAAGGGACCAAGGTTGAGCCAAGGTGCTAAGGATCACAATTTTAGACTGTTTGGGGCATTTTGGAGGTTCTGGGCATCTTGAACCGGTTCAGCCCCATTGAACCGGTTCAAGAGGGGGTCTTTGGTTCGAGAATGGGCATACTACCCATCTTGAACCGGTTCAAGGTCCTTAAACCTGTTCAAGTCCCCCAGTGCACTATTCTGACTTCCTTAGTTGACAGCTTGGAACGTTTGACTTCGGACGGTCATAACTTCATCGTTCGGAACCCAAATAGGGTCATTCTTGAGCCCATTTTAAAGAATTTTAAGTTAGCTTTCCAATGAGACCAACTTCATCCTCAAATTCCATTCATGTTGAGAGTTATGGTCATTTTAGTGGAACAGTATCAGAATTTTCCTTAAACCGGGTAAGGGTACCTTTGGGAATTCATAACCGATGGTCGTAGAACTTCACTGAGTGTCATGAAATGATTAAGAATAACTATTTAAAACCCCATTTGATTGGTTTAAGGATGGATTACCCTCTCACATTGTAGAATGACTATTTTACCCCTAGTGTGTCCTCAGGCTTGGTTAAGGACCCGGTTAGCGATTCGGACCCTTGGTTTGGGTCATTACATGCAGCCCTAGTGAGAGAGATTAAAATTTAATTTTTTGGTACCTTCCATTAAAATTAGGGTCAAGTGCAAAAAGCACTCCTCAAGTATACTTACAGTGCATATCACACCCCTCTCGTGCAAAAAACACCCCTTAGGTTTCAATTTGGTGTAATCAAGTCTCTCTAGCACATTTAAAACCAAACTTAACTAAAGTACCCTTAGTCAACAATTTTATAAAATATAAAAATATATAAAATTTTGTAAAAAGACCAAAAATGATAATAAACAGTGATAGTGGTGACCTCGGAGGCTGTGACGTTGATACGGGAGACAATGGCGAAGGCAACCATGAACTCAGGGAGCTAGGGGAGGAGGACGAGCCAGACGATGAAAAAGATAAGGACTGAGGCGATGGGTGCTGGCCGGAAGCTACACTCTGCAAATATCGAGCTAGGGAAATTCGGTAATAGCTCCCGCCGCCGAAATATGAAGCATCGTGTCTCAGAGTTTCAAACCCGCTGTTTTCACCTCTGACAGTCTTGATCGCCGGCTTCGGCGAGAGCCAGAAACCCCATGCGTCACGGCACTGGTGGGTAAAGAGAAGTTCAGCTGTAAGCGACGGCCAGCTCGGCTTTGATGATAGAGGCGGCGGCGAGCTCGGATTTGATGGAGCGATGGTAGAGAAGACGGACAATGGTGAGAAGATGGCTCGGCTATGGAGAGATTGGCCGTGGATGACTCGGTGGAGAGCTCGACCGGTGGAATCGGCGTCCCGCGAACAAGGAAGGGCTCGGCGATGCAGCGGCAGTGATGGCAGAAAGCTCTAGTTTGTTAATGTTACCTTGAATGGTGCACTGCAAAGCGGACAACGATACCAAGAGGCTAACCATCTTGCGTCAACGTAGAAAGAGTGGCCACAGAGGACAACTCCATGATTATTCTTGAAACCTTAGCCCTTAGCTTGGAATGGTTTATCATTGCTAGTCGACTTCTACTGGGTAGGCTCTGAAATGATAGAAACTGAACATTTGAGAGATTGTACCAACGATTTGCAAAATGGGTATGGCTTTGAAGGGCTGAATTGGGTTGTGATGGTGGGTTTAGTAAAAGAGAAAGTGATGGTCTGGAAAAGTGGGCAGTGGTGATGACTGAAGGTAGAAGATGGGTTGTGACAGATTGGGTTAGTAAAACCATTTCACTTCACTATGTGAGACCAATCGCGCTTTCCAAGATTCCTGTTTTGCGATATAATCTGGGAAGATGAGGGAAAGAGAGAAGAGAGTTCGTAAAATTGGATCTGGCTCACGCTAACCATGGCTTCCATTGATCCATCAAGCAGTGGTTGAAGAAGAAGAAGGCGGTGGTGGGAGGAGCTGGCGGTGATGGAAGAAAGAGTCAGTGGTGGAGAAAAAAGAGGAAACACCAACGACTAAATCACAGAGAGTAGAGAGAGAAAGATGGGTATTTTTGGAAGACTAAAAGGGCAAAATGGGTATTCCAGCAACAATTTATGTCAGATTTCTAACAGAAGTGTAATTTTGCATAATTTTAAAAGATTAGGGATGTTTATTGCACACTTTTTGAAATTGGGGGTAATAGTGCTTCTCAGAGTATACTTAAGTGATGTTTTCTGCACTTACCCCTTAAATTAGTAAGTAAGAGCATTCAACTCGTTTCATAATTTAAATATAGTTGTTGATTAATTAAAGGGTATTTAGGTCATTTTATTGAGTGTCAGGTGTAGAAAGGGGTGATTAGGTGGTTTTTTGTTAACTTTATCAAACTTGGGAGTTGTCATTGTTCCATTTGGTTGTCAATAGATCAAACCTTAGGAAGTTTGCGTGCAATTAACTCTTATTATATTTATTATGACAAAAGTCTGCAATATCTAAAGGTATTTTACATGTGGTACATCATCTAATGAACGTTCATGAAAACTCTCAATTTATAGGTTACCTAAATAAGTAATTTAAAATATATATATATATATATATATATATATATATATATGGTGTATTGATCGGAAATATCACCTGTAAAATAATTTGAAATATCATAGGCTTTTTTGTTTATTACGATAGTATGAAATTTTATTATTATTTAAGGTTGTTCTCGAAAATCATTTTCTGTATGAGTCCTGCTATTTGGCCCGACAAATAAAAATCTGCTACTTCACCGAATCTATATGGCTATCCCTATGTCAAATATAATGGAACCCATTTTAAAATATAAGGTAATTGACTATTTGAAAAGTTGTAATCTTTTTTTAAGTTTATCTTAGTTTAGTATCTTTGTTGGTGATTAAAGTTTCAACCATGTATATGGATACGGATCCTCTTCTTGGGACATCTCTCTCCTATTTTCTCCAAAACTAATCTGAAGGCTAATATTAAGACACGTCATTTGCCACGTCTCCCTTTCCCTCTTTCTCTCTCCTCTCAACCCTCCTCCCTCTCTGTAAATCTTAGATACTAAGACTAAAATTTTCTCTTTCCTATTTAGTAACTTTCATACCCAAATTTTGCTTGTCGAAATCTGCCGGCTTCTTCGACTTGTGCTAAACGTAATATATACACACATATATAAATAAAAGAAAAAAAAATGATTAATTTTGGAAATAAAATAAATAAATAAATAATGAATTGAGTCAACAACTATGTTTATTAATTTCTTAATTAATTTTCATGGATTTCTTGATTGATTTCTTGGTTTATTAATTTGTTCTGATTTTTTTTTTTTTTTTTTTAACTCAACATATATTTATGATTATTCCCTAGTGAACTGAGCAAAACCTAAAAGTTCAATTGTTGGTTTCAACCGGAAACATCGTTGTTGTCGACTCCATTCATTATTTATTTATTTATTTTTTTCTCAGAATTAATTATTATTTATTTTATATATATATGTGTGTATATATTATGTTTAGCACAAGTTGAAGAAGCCAACGGATTCTGGCAAGCAAAATTTGGGTATGAAAGTTATTGCAAAAGGGAAGAGAAAAATTTGGTGTTACTATCTAAGATTTAGAGGTTGACAAGATAGAGAAAGAACGAAAAGGAGATGTGGCAAATGACGTGTCTTAATATTGGACAAGGATCATCTCTAGCGTAGGAGAGGTCCAGTACAGAATTTAGTGGTTGAAATTGAATTGATAAATGAGACCCACTAATAATGACGTAATCTCAACCATTGAATTCTATGAAGGACCTCTCCTGCACTAGAGAGGATCCTTTGTCCTATAATAATAGCCTTCATATTAGTTTTGGAGAGAGCAGGAAAGAAATGCCCAAGGAGAGGATCCGTATCCCAGGTGTATGTATATTTGTTTTATATTTCAAATTGCATCTCTATTATGACCATTGAGATACTTCATATTGTGTTTTTGATCATTAATATTTATCTATTATTTTGATAGGCATTTGTTAATTACTATAATAATCAAAGCTAATAATCTATTTAACTCCCAAAAAAACAAAGATTAGAAGAGAAATTTAAAAAAAGAAAAAATTTGGAAAAGCATGGAAAAAATATAAAACATTGCAGTTTTTGCTATAGATTTTGTACAAATCAAATTGAAAAAAAAAAAAAAGAAATGGGTTATAGAAAACTGAAAAGATAAGGTAAAAGAAATATAATATTTTATGGAAACAAACAAGAATAGTAATGATAGCTATTTAAGTTGACGCCTTTAGTCAATAATATCATTTTCATATATATATATATACACACACACATACATATATATATATATATATATATACACACACACATACATGTGTGTGTGTATATATATATATGTATGTGTGTGTGTGTGTGTATATATATGTATGTATGTAGGAGAGGGGTGCACAGCGAATAGCCCACTTGGAGTTGACACTGTTTATTATTTATTGCCAAAGCCAACCTTGTAAAGACGACTTAAAAGATAGAGACGACCGCGAGCTTATCCATATATGTGTCCTCACTCCTCCGCCAATTCCCATCCCTTATACTTCTAAAGAGAGAAGATAGAGAGAGGGATGGATGCAGCAGGTGAACAGAATGAGATTGTCATAGCTGGCGGTGGGATTTGTGGCCTTGCCACCGCACTTGCCCTTCACAGGTTCACTTCCTCCTCCCACTCAATCTCCTCCTCCTCATGATTGTCTACCTGGCATTAGTTTCCTTTACAGTGAGAAGGGTAAATCCGTAAATGCATATTTTACTAGCATTTCTCTCTTATTTGAAAATTGATTTTTTTTTTTTTTTTTTTAATTTTAAAAATTAAATTAGTATGTGTAGATGGTCGAAGTGGTACAAGTTGAGTAATTGTTTAATCAATTACACTAAGCTCTTTTGAGATTTATCATAATGATAATTGCACTAATATATATATATTTTTTAATTTAAAAAATTACAGTGACCTTGTCAAAAATTGGTATTTTATTTATTTTTATTCTGGCAAATTAGAAGTGAGAATTTCGAACATACGAACCAATTATGTAAAAATTCACATTGACAACTCTAAATTATTCTTATCACAATATAAATTTTTAAATAAGAGGAGGGGTGTATGACAAAACTCAAAAGATATCTGTGTAATTTACCTTAGCTTTTGAAAAAAAGATTAGTGTAATTGTTCGAACAAGTGAACACCTTGTAATTTAGATAACCTCTAAAAGCATATTTCTAGGTGTAATTTTACCTGATTCATTTAAATGACACGTAGAGGGAAAATTTTGAAAATTCTTGATCCTTTCTGTTCCTAAACCATCTTGTGTAGTACAATCAATACGTTGCATTACATATGTAATAATATATGTGTAATACCAAGTTACCAATGTAATATTCATGCAACACATTTATATTAAAAATATATTTACAATTTTGACATAAGGTATGTTACATTGTGTGCAATAACATTAAATTAAGAATTTAATACATAATTGGGCATTATCCGATGCCTAATTTGTAGCGCATCCAGCATCCGAATTTAATGCATAATTGGGCATTATATGATGCCTATTTTGTAATGCATCCAGCGTCCTAAGCGAATGTGCCGTGTTAGAGTCCCCCTTCTTTGCTAGGATAAAATATATATATATCCTATCCGTATTTGAGTTTAATTAGTTAAGTATATACTACATGATAAATTTGTAGGAAGGGCATTAGTAGCGTGGTTTTGGAGAGATCAGAGACCTTGCGTACAACAGGGGCAGCCATTGGCATTTTGCCTAATGGATGGCTTGCTCTCGATCAGCTGGGTGTGGGCTCTAAGCTCAGAGAAACAGCTCTTCTTTTGCATGGGTATGCCTCTAATCTCTCTCTCTCTCTCTCTATATATATATATATATGTATATGTGTATATATGAATATAAGTGTACACATACACATTATGGTACATCTAGAGCACCAAGGCTGTGGTTCTATCTCGCCCAACATCATACATTGATTATGCTTCTTATTTTGGGATTGTATTAGCTTGCATTGTCAGAGCTGTGAACAACCACTTTCTACATTTGTATTACAAAAGTAACTTGTAGGTTTTGCTTCAACATCCTCTGTTTTTTCCTGTTTTATCCGGGACACGATTTTGGGATTTTTAAGATTATTATTATTTTTAAACAAAAAAACTATTAATTTTTTGCATTTTGGAATCCAAAGTCAAACATTTGAGTTTGTTTAGAAGCAGCCGCGTAGCCAGAAATTTCTTTCAGTGGGGGCAATTTTTAAATATATGTAAAAATTCAGAATATTTTTCATATTCAGAAAACGCGCAGTCGAGTTTTCAAAATGTTCATAGAATAATAATAGTAAATTTAGATGATAAAAAAATATATAGTAAGTTTTCCACTGTAGTGTTTGTTTGAATTTTGTGAATTTTTGAAATATTAAAGACTCGCCAAAAGAAAAATGTTGAAGATTGAAAATGTGATAAAAATTAACAACGCATTTGTTTGTAGTAAAGTCAAAAGTGTGAAAGAATATTGTGTAATTTTGAGAAAAGTGGAAAAGAATATAATATTTTGGGAAAGTAGAAAAAAATATCATATTTTTTGGAAAGATTATATTCCTTTTTGTTTTTTAATAATACCGTGAATGGTCAATTGATTATATATATATATATATATATATATGTGCAATGCCAACTTTTAGTGGGATAATTATACAAATATAAAAATCTTTCTATATGAAATTAAAAATTCGGCAGCTGCCCCCACTTATCCCTACGTGGCTAGGCCACTGTTTAGAAGATAAGGGGTAATTTTAAAGAATTCAAAACACACAAACAAAAAATAAAGTACGCATATAAAAAGTTCAAAATATTGTCAACATTAGGCCTTAGTATGCGACAAGAATGCTAAGGGCTTCAAGTTTGTAATTCGATTTTGCTATATTTGAATCATATGAGAAACTTGACCACTAAATTAGCTGAGTCACCCTTATTGTATAGTATGAACTATAGATTGTTTATTGATTTTGTTTATAAACATGATTGGTCTAATACATTTTTTTATCAAGTTTTCCTTTCAACTTTTTTTTTTTTTTCTAGTTGGTACTCATACACACTGCCTCCGAACTCCTGACCTCCCTTTGGGAAGTAGGAGCTTTGTACCGTTAGGCCACAGGCGTGTTGGTTCCCTTCAACTTTGTATTGTATAAGCATTTATCACACAAAATACAAGAGGTATTTTTCTACTCAATCAATCGTACTTGAATTCGGTACTCCCAAACATAGCATTAGTATAATTCTTTCCTCACAATTTCAAAATTATTACTAAATGGTTAATCAGTGATAACATGTGCCAAATAGATATTGACATGAACGTTCATGCATTTGCTTGTCCTAGCATCATTTTGTATTTCCCTAACACCCGTTTTTGTGCATAGGATACAAGATATATGGCAAGACAAGGGTAAGCAACGCGAAACATTATTTGGGTAAGTACATAAACTTTGCATTCTAATTTAAACCCAAGAAGTACATACATATATATACACAAACACATGTACATATATACTCCAAAAATAGAATTATGACAGAAAATATATACAAAGACAATGAAGCAGAAGTTAAAGAACATGGAACATAATTTGGAAAAAAAAAAGAGAATAATAAATGAGTTAGATACTTCTCATCAATGAAATAAAATTTTAACTTTGATAGGAGTGGCGAAGCTCGTTGCTTGAAACGGAGTGACCTAATCAAGACCTTAGCAGATGCATTGCCAGTTGGTACAATACGCTTTGGATGCCAAGTAGTCTCTGTAAAATTGGACCCTCTAACTTCTTATCCAATTCTTCAACTTCATGATGGGAGTTCTGTTACGGCCAAGGTATTGTTGCTCTATCTCAATTTCAATTTTTGGTTCTAAATAATTTAGTTCCACATAGCCACTATGCTCTATTAAATATATTGTCTGCTCGTGAAAATGTGGTAATTGGGGATGCACTTTGCAGAAAATTAATTTGTCAATACCACCAAGCATTGCTTGAGTGGAATCTTTTCCACCTCCCAAAGAGGAGGTTGAGCGTGTTATAAATTAATTAATTAATCAATTAAAAAGAAAAAAGAAAACATTTCCATTCATGATTACACCTTAGAGATTAACATATTCCTAAATTTGAATAGTTAGATGATTTTGGGTAATTAAGGCACATTCATCTAGTGTAGACAATAGACGATCATTTCAATTTGCGACCAAGGAATTCTTAACAGAAATATGCACAAAAATAATAAGGAAAGTGTAATTTTTATTTGGTCATGATGCTAAGATACATATAAATGAGAAAATTGTAGTTTTATGTTTTTACTCTCCATATCACAGGTTTTGATTGGATGTGATGGAGCTAGGTCAGTCGTTGCGGATTTCCTTGAGCTAAAGCCTGCAAATTTTTTCACTATATGTGCGGTGAGAGGTTTCACACATTTTCAAAATGGTCACTCATTTACCCATGAGTTAGTCCGAATGAGGAGAGGGAACATTTTAGTGGGGAGAGTCCCAATTAATGATGAGACAGTCTTCTGGTTCGTAGCTCTGCAATTGAATTTTATGGGTAAACTCTAGACTATGCAGATTTACATGTTTTTATGTTTATATATTTTTTCCTTTGTAAGTAACATGTATGGCATTTTGGAGCAATTACTCAAAGAATGAAAAAAAAAAATGGCTCATTTTTCTGAAATCAATAACGGAAGTGCTTCTAATGACCAAACAAGGCTAAACACCAGGATACCAAAGGTATAATACATGAATAGTAACCATGGAGGCCAAAAGTCCAAGCAATTGGGTAATTGGACTCAAATTTTAGTGTATCCCGAAATGCATGCATCGAGTTGACTGTTTTAGCACATTTTGTATTAATTTTGGGAATTTAAAGAATTTTGAATTAGAAAAAGTTGGCCAAAATGCCAAATTAATCACCACCATTTAACAAGTTATTACTAACTTATTACTAGATGACTCAAACATTTGTTCTGAAGGGTACTTCTGGTGCAGTCTTTGTTTGGCTTCTACTACCTAATTTGTTCTGTGTGTCAGTAAATTGGTTTTGTGTCTTACATTCTTAATGGCTATTATTATTTACATGGACAGATGCAAAAGTTTGGGGGGATGCAGAGCTCATGAGACAAACAGCTTTGGAATCAATAAGTGGTTTCCCAGCAGAATTAAGAGAATTGGTAAAAAACAGTGACCTGAAAACACTGTCTCTCACACACTTATGGTATCGTGCACCATGGGACGTACTACTTGCAAGGTTTCGTAAAGGAACAGTGACAGTAGCCGGTGATGCCATGCATGTAATGGGCCCATTCCTGGGACAGGGTGGCTCAGCAGCTTTAGAAGATGCAGTTGTGCTTGCTAGATGCCTGGCAGAGAAGATGAGTGTGGTTTATCCGATCAAAAGTGGGAGGAGGCAGATGATGGTGCACCAAGTTGGAGAAGCAATGGATAAATATCTGAAAGAAAGAAGAAAGAGAGTGGTGCAATTGTCAACACAGAGTTACCTTACTGGTACGCTATTGGAAACCTCATCACTGCTGATAAAATTTGCTTGTCTTGTCTTCATGGCCATTTTCTTTAGTAACACAAGTTACCATACCAGATATGACTGTGGACGCCTTTGATTTTTATTTTTATTTTTGTTGTAGTAGCTGCTGCTATGATTGTACCAATGTATTTGATGTAACATTTTTTGCTTGGAGCTAAATTGAACCTTAAAACACAAGTAGTTACCTCTGTTTCTTTTAAAGTCTCCATTTGGAATGACTTGAGCCAAATGTTATGAGCCTTTCGAAATCATGTATTTGCTGCTCTATTGCTGTATATCTTGGCTCAAAGTGTTTTCCTGTTTCTGGTTGCTATGTTGTGGCATTTAGAGCCTTTGTCTTTACCTTTGTTTATTTCAAAGGTGTCATCGCCAACCTCATAGTCTTAAAACCTCAATTAACTATTTTAGTCTACTGTCGATCTTCCAATAAAAGAATGTCCAAAACTAAAATTTTAATCCAACTTTTTTAGTCTGCTAGACAACCTTTACATAAATCACAATAGAGAGACACCCATCACACGACATTTTCAACCGACAATTCTCACAAGGTCACCTCAAAACAAATTATATGATATATAATAGCTAAACAAATGAAATTTATAATGTTCATGCCAAATAAGTGTCTTTGATCATTATCTATAGAGCTTTAGTAATACCATGTTGTGCCTTATTTTTCGAAGGGAAAAGGGTATTCACTAACCCTATCAAACAAGGTAGTAAATCTTGTTATACTAAAATGAGTATATGTGGCTAGGATTTTCATATATTTAAATATGATCGGTGAAGTCCTTGTTAAATTGATGGAGCACCTAACATCAAGTTTTGGTGGGATAGATCAACTAAGATCGATGTCAATTTGATTTGTAGCAATTCTAGTGGGGGATGGATCAACTAAGCCCAATCCTAGTGGGAGGACCCCCCCAAAAATTGGCGTATGCCGCTGTATGCAGCGAGCACACAGTATTCTTTAGTAAACGGTGGGAAAGAAAAGTTCAATTTGATAATATGGTCTGTGACGAGAGCTAAATAAAACCAATACTGTTGGCCACTTTGGGACTTTCTATACCCTTTAGGTAGTGCCTAAGATTAACATATGTTTTCTAAAGTAAAAAATAACAAACGTCACCTGGTAACTGCATTGGCATAGAGACTTTAGAAACAGTCCGAAGGAAGACAATTTTATATTGGACAAGCTGCAACGATGAAGACATTTTTCATTTGGACAAGCTGTTCTTCATTAGGCAATGTGAACGACCTTAATGCTTGCTTGAGCCACGGTAAAGTCCTTTGATAAATTGATGGTAGCAGAGTGCAACATGTGCTGGTAAAGACTGCTGCTAATGGGGACCATGACAGTACTTTTAGCAGACATAATGGAATGAAATTATGATGAAAATCACTCCCTGCCATACAATTCATAGGAGGGTAGTAATGGAGTTAGACAGTGACAGGGAGCTACCATCTCCAACAGACAACGTGCACCTTGTGAAGGTGAAAGTGATTGTCTGAGTAAGAAAATTATGGCTTTTTTATTTTAACCTTTTCATTGTTTTTTTTTTTTTGACTTTATTCATAGAAGGCATAGAAGCAACAACATGTTTCATACTCATGATTCACATTCAAAAGATTAGAGTTGCTTTAAAAATACTCTTCTATTAACTAATTAAAGCACAAAGCACAACCCCACCACTTGCATCTTTCTTGTTTCCACCAAAATGTACAAAAGGAAGGAAAGTTATGAGAGTTCATTGAATCAGACTTGGCCTAACTTCCTTGTAGATCCTACTTAAGAGCTTGGGGACCCTAATAAGTCCATCCACATAGTCAATTACTATTATAAAACAAGGGAACCAACTAAACACATATGCACTATAGTGGTCAACCTAGCAGGTGCACTGAGTGGGTCTAAGTTTATCATGATAATCATTCTTCTAGGGTTTTTTTTTTTTTTTAGTACACAAGTCAAGTGAAGGGTGATCAGGGGGGAATCATTAGAGAGAGAAAATGTTACTCAAGGCATAATATTGTCAGATCCAATACCCTTTGAAGAGTTGAAATTGTGGTTATCTGAATCTTGTATTTGGGGCTCAAGTGGTGGAGTGGGTAATAGAGATGGGTTGTAAGAATGCCATCTGGACCAGAAAAGATAGTTGAAGAAGTTGATGAGGCTTAGTGCAGCTAACAACCAATAGAAAAGGTCAAGTCTGTCCTTGTTGAGGTCATTGTCACTAAGCCATCCACCCCTAGAAGAGCTTGAGGTAATTTTGTTCACTAGAGATACTAAAAGGGAGCTCAAATAAAACCCAAATGAGTATGAGCAGTAAGTCATTGCAGTCAAAAAAGATTGCATCCCTTCCAAGGATTGTTTGTAGAAGAACTCGATAAGTCCCACCGCGGTGAACATCTCTGAGAGGCCGAATATGAGAAACTGTGGCGCGATCCAGAATATGGACAGGGTCTTGTTTAAGTTTAGAGATAAGTTTCGTCTCTTGTTCTCTACCATTGCAGCCGAGACCATGGAGAAAGTCGATAGAAAGAGGCCGATGCCAACTCTTTGTAGAGGCGAGATTCCTGAGTCCTTTCCAGTGATTCGCCTAGCAATCGGGATGAAAACAGTCTCGTAGAGAGGGACTACAAATATCAGCATTAGGTAAGGGATGGATTGAAGAGACGCTGGTGGGATTTGGAAGTTCTTTGTGAGGCGCGTGTTCATGGCGCTTCCTTGTTGGACTGAGAATGTTTGGAGCTGAGCTAAAATGGTGTTGAAGATTATGGTGCACGCGAAGATGGGAACGAGTGACATGATTATCTTCACTTGCTCAACTTGCGTCACAGTGCATAGTCTCCATGGACTTTCACTCATTTGAGTTCCATCTTGAACTTTGATGCAGGCCTTGTCCAGAAATCTACAAGTTTATTAGTAAATGGTTTTAATTAGTTGCAAGATGAACAAGTAATATCAACCTAAAACATAATAGTTGTTATGGATATATAATAAACATCAAATCTTTCAATACAGTACTTACAGAATACAGATTTTAGGGGTGTGTGTGTGTGTGTGTGTGTGTGTGTGTAGTCATCTTTGTTGATTTATTAGATTTATATTGTTTGAAACTTTAGAAATACAATTGTCAAAAGTTCCACCCCACCTGAACCTTTCTGTATGAAAGAGATTGGTGACATTTACTGACGTGGCACGTTCTTGCACGATATTTTGGCTTCCATGAAGCATCTCTGAATTTGAAGGACAAATCTGCTTTCTCTTTGTAATTGCAGCTACAAAAACCTTCAATAAGGAGGGGAAAAAAAGAGGAACTGAAATGAGATAATAATGCTGTTTTCTTTTCTGACAAAAAAAAAAGGGTTAAAAAGAAAGTAAAAGCTGACTGAAATATTGATATAACAGAGACAAATTTCACTGTTTGAAGAAATAAAGTACTAATTAAACATTAAATAAAAGCAGGAATCATCTGAAACCATTGTAATCTTACTATATAAAGAAAATCTTATATTAATAATATTCCTGATTTTTATTCACCAAAAGTTTGCAGAATTATTTACTTATTAGCTGAATGATAAAGTCTAACACTAAAGAAAATATAGAAAAAACACTTTTTCAATTGTCTTATTATAAACAAACCAATAAAAGACTAAATGAAAAATTACCACAAAATCTAGGTCACATTATTAAAAAGATTAAAAAGCAAAAAGAGAAGAACACTTAAAATATTAGCACAAGCATGTGTGTGTGTGTGTGTGTATGTGTGTGTGTGTGTGGAGAAAGTACTTCAACTTGTAAACTAAATAAAGTAGAAGCAACAAGAACTTTCTGGTTTTACCTTTGTGTGAGTTTAATACCCTAATAAAATGGTTAGAAAACTATGTTGCTCAACAAACCTGGATAATAACAGTCCAGAGAAAGAAAAGGCTACTAAAAAGTCTCCTAAATGAAAGAAAAAGAGAACCTATAAAGTTCTCAACACTACATGATAATGGAAACCGAAATTACTTGTGCAATTGGCGTGAAGATGCTTCCGTGAGGCGGTTTGTTTCTGTAAACAAAAGTACCAGAAATCAAGCTGATCAATCCCACTGCCATGGCAGCTGCAGAGACTCCAAATCCGACGTCCATCCCCGAGTGTGTTTGCACCCAGACAAGAACAGTGAGTGCAACAAGCTCACCGGTGCAGAAGGCGAAGTAGGCACAGTTGAAGTATGTAGAGAGTATCTTCGATTGCTTAGAGTCATCTTTTCTGAATTGGTCAGCACCATGAGAGATTATGTTAGGCTTTAGACACCCACTTCCTAGAGCCACCAAGTAGAGTGCTACAAAGAATATCGAAGCTTTGTATCCTTCTGCTTCCAAACATTGCCCTTTGTTGGCCACCATGTTGCATTGGGGTGGCTTCAGTTGTGGGAGATGGGCTTGGACAGACAACAATATAAAGCCCTATAATACCAAAACCGTAGTATGTTAAGAAATATATGCCATCTCTCATCCAAAACTCGATTACGTGAAATAATATCCATCTCTTTCTTTTTCTACCCTTTTACTCATTTATCAATTATAATTATGTTTTTATGATCTACTAAACTTAATTATGGTGCAGGTAATCAATAGAAAGGAGGTGATCTAGTGTCTATCGTGTGCACTGAAATAGTGCCTTTTTGATGTACAGTACGGAGCTCAACGTGGGTTGTGCAGAGCCTCAACACAGTCCGTGTTGGGCTCTGTGCATGTGCATTGAAACGGCTCTGTTTTGGTACACATGAGGGGCACAAGGTCCCCTCCTCCACACAGGAGGGACCCTGTTTGTAATCAATGGGTCCATAACAAAAACCATCATAAAGCATGCATCCCCTTTAGGTATGTCAAATTTAACTCTTCTCTGAAACTTTTGTAGATTAAGCATGCAGAAGTTAATATTTATGAACTAAGATGTCAAAGAGACAAAAATTTGAATTTACAAATTAAGAAGCACATAGGAAAGGGACAAAGATGTCACATACACACACTCATACAGAGAGAGACTTACAAAAAGCTCCACAAAACCAAAGATCAACATGGTCCAGAAGCTGCCAAGATAAGAATCTGACAGGAACCCACCAAGGAGGGAAAGGAGAAAAACAGTCCCTATAAAGTTTGTTACTATGTTAGCAGACTTTGACAAAGGAAAGTGCATGTCATTGAATACATAGGTTATGAGGTTGTTCCCAACAGCTGCAATTGCCATCATCTCAAAAGCCTGGAGGCCTGAAACATCACCAACCACCACAAAAAGTAAAACTTTCAGAATACATAATTTTAAATTTAAAGAATTGATATGAGCACCCACTAAGACAATTATCTATAAAACACAAAATTCTAGACTCTATTCCATTGATTCCATTAAGAAATCTTTCTATAATAGTCCCCCACTTCACTAATAGAAAATTAGTATTACAAAATGAAGGAATGATTCAATGGATCCTTTTGATTGAATCCATGCATCACAAAACAGTGGCTCAGTCTGCCAGACTAGTGTAGAGAGATTGAGAAGTTCTAGCCATGGAAAACAAGCTCATTATATGAAATTGAAGAACAAAACTAAGAGCATAGAAGCATGCTATTTTGAAGTTGGAAATTCAAACTAGACGCATTTGAAGTCCATATGAAAATGGTGAACATGAATAAATTATGATAGATATAGATAGATAGATAGAGAGAGAGAGAGAGAGAGAGAGAGACCAAGGACAAAAACAGCTGCAGTCATTCCACCATGCTTGCTAGGCTTGCAGGGTCTGCCTCTCCAATCTACAGAGATCTCCTCCACACAACTAGACACAGATTCTACTTTGAAATCCTTTCTTGTCCCTTCTCTATCCATCTTTTCCTTTCCCTGTCTTCCCTCCCTCTCTCTCTCTCTCTCTCTCCCCCTTGATATATAAATATGTGTATCTACTATCTATACTCTATAGACTTCCTCAAAATAATATAGCTTGCTTTTTGTTGGACCAAACTGAACTGTAGAAGTATCAAAACCAAAAGCTAGCCCTCACTTCCTAAAGGCTTCTTAATTTGTTGATTCTGAGACAGCCAAAGGTGGCTTATTTTGCCTCCTATTTATAACACCATCCTTCATTTCCTCGGCACCGCGTTTTTGCCGATCTTTCCCTCCTCGGCTAGTTGACTCTGCGGTAGTGGCATGCCCCCACAAAGCTCAAAATTCAGCTCATCAGCATTTAGCCCCCCATAATCACTTATTAGATAATAGTGTGTGTGTTGTGTGTGTGTGTGTTTTGAAGATATAGTTCCAGAGATTTGCTAGGCATTGATGGGGTAAGCATGTCCTCTCTCAAGTGGGACATAATTAGTCATAAGAATTTAGTTCTTTGTGGGAAGTTTCAATTCCACCCACTCTAAATCACTCGAGAACTGTACAAATTGGCAATGCTGGTCATCTAGCTTTATATTCTTTAACAACAACAACAGATTAAATTGTGATGAATTATTGTTAATTGAGTGCAGTGTGACATTGATGCTGTTCCTCAATATCTTTTTTAACTTTTATTCATAAATAGAGAAAAGAAAGATACTTAATGCATGGTCATGAATCAATGTTGTTTAGGGTTCATTGCTTGATGAGTATTATGTAGCAACTGGTGAAGTAGGCTCAAAACAATGGGGGCCATTGGGTCTTATGGTGTAGGGTCCATATAATCTACAGATGATCCATGGTGGTGTTGCGTGGAAAGAAGCTTAAAGAGAATTCTTGAGAAAGCTATGGTGCTTTATTTTTGTTTACTAGAAGATAAAATTTAATGACTTTTTTTGAGTTTCTAATAAGAAATTATTCTTATTTTGACCATTTTAGAGTGAAAAATGGGGTTTCTCCCTTGGCAATCTAAGCATCCAAGACATACTAACGGGCCTTAGACCAAATGATATGATAACTCACCTTCAAAGTGAGATTGTGTCTAAGTCCTGTTAGTGTTAGGGGTAATATTGTGAATATTGCGGGGTGAGACATGCATGTTTACTTGAACTTTGGAAAATAAAAGGGTAAATTCCACTACCTCCCCTGAGATTTGTCAATATTTCACATACACCCACTCTACATTTCGCAATCACACTTACCTCCCCTGTCAGTGACTTTTTTACCGTTTTGCTCATGAAATGTTTGCTGTCATTTCAGGCTTTAGAAGGGCAAAATGGTTAGATGGGGAGAATTCGTTACATAAACCAAAACATCAGAGAAGGTAAGTGAAATTATGAAACGTAGAAAGGATCTATGTGGAATATTGACAAACTTCAAGAAAGATAAATTGAATTTACCCAAAATAAAAGCATGCAAGAACTTCTTTTATGCTTAATTTTAAAATATGATAAAACTGAATTTTTTTTTATAAAGAGTCTGTAATAGCTCAAACATTTTACTAGTACACCAAGGAATGGACCCTCCAACAACTTAATGGATGAAGGCAACCTCAAGTGAGATAGGTAAGTCATTTTGAGAACTTGAATGATAATATACACCTACTAACACCTAACATTACCCAACAAAAAACAAATAATCAAATTAAAAAATCACTTTTTCTGTTTCCTTCCAAATAAAATAGTGTCAGGCCATAAATTTTGGACTGTAACAAATGTAATTCAAGGAAGCTTTGCTTCAAAAATATTGAATATGGACTGAAACCTATCTACAAACTAGTCCCCATTTGATTACTGCTAAAACCAAATATGTTAATGGGGAACAAACATGCATCACACTACTTTTATCTTGCTACTTTGACTGATTTGTGCCATTTACCATCTTTCTTTTGTCAAAATTCCACTTCCCTTTCTTGAGCCAATAGATGTTGAAACTTATGTGTTTTCTTACATGTAAATTGCGGTTTATCCACCACCATAATTTTAAAAAGTTCTAAAATAAATTAAAAACCATAAACTTCTATAATAATTTTTTTTTTTTGGGTATCAGGCAAATTAGGGACAGAGGGGACTCAAACATGAGCATATTCGTTCGAAGAGCGGGGTGTTTTACCAACTAAGCCACTGCGTAATGTCCCCCTTCTATAATAATTAAGTAGCTTAAAATGTGCCAAAGAACAAAGAATTAATATTCATCTTCTTCCCCTTCTATAATAATTAAGTAGCTTAAAATGTGCAAAAGAACAAAGAATTAATATTCGTCTTCTTGTGCTTTAGTAGTTCTGAGGACTCTTTTCAGAGCCAGCTGAAACCTTAGACAGTCTCTTAGTTCCAACAAATAGTGTGTATAAAATAATGGGCTCCTAAATATTTAACTCATTTTATATTTTTAGACTCTAGGTTCTCTATGATTTAAGTGATCCTATATTCAAGATAGTGATCTGGAAATAATAAAATTTCATCTACTCTTGTTTTTCCTCCACTTTCCTATCCTTATTAAAAATCCTATTTTTTATTTTATTTTCTTTTCTTTATCTCTCCTCGTATTCCATCAGAAAAGCTAAAACAAAAGGTAAGATTAAAAATAAATAAATAAATAAATAAAAATAAATAAATAAAACCCTCAAACTATTCCATTGTTACGAAATGCCTCTTTAAACTATTTTTTAAAACAAATTGCCACCTTAACCATCAAAAATAAACAAAAAGCCCCCTTACCAGTTTCCGACCAACTGAAGAGTACAATTACTAATTTACTCTTATTTTTTAATTTATTATAAAAAATCAAAATATATGCTATTATGAAATGACCACTTTGCTCCTATATTTTGTCCCCATTCAATTTTATTTTTTTATTTTTTTATTTTTCTGCGTTTTCTTTTGATCTCTCTCTCTCTCACTTCCTTCTGCCGCCACCCACCATTGCCACCACCCCCTCCTCTCTCTTCTCCACTGATGTCGCCACCCATCATCTCCACCGCCCAATAGGAAAAGGAAAATGCTAATCTGGTGCAACCCTCTTATCTCTCTCTCTCCCTTCTCTTTCCTGCGGAGTGATGGATGCCGGTGATGTCTGCGTGCGCTGATTCCTGGTGTGATCGGCGTCGGTGAAGTGGAGGAGAGGAGTGAGGACGTCGATGTTGTTCCGGTGGGAATGGGTTGACACTGATGACCATTCTATATATATATTCTAACATAGATTACATTTGATTGACACTGATGACATGATTGTCAGTTAATTTGTCCACAAATTAACTGAACAAAAAATAATAATAATAATAAATAAATAAAACCTTTCCACCAACTTCAAATTGCTCAATCAATTGGAATGTTATGGTACTTAAACGTACATTGATAAAGATACAGTTAAATTGTACAAAGAAGCCAGGAAAATCATGACATTAGACCAGAACGAAACTATGAGATATTGAAGATCGAGTTTCGTCTCTGTAATAAAAAAAAGAGAGACACATTGAAGATAGATATATACAATAAAAATCGTCCTTATTATACATATAGATTGAGATCAATCTTATTTATTGATTGCCGGCATATAGAGTACAGTCCATTTTGCTATCACACCAGGAATCAGCGCACACAGACATCAGTGGAGAAGAGAGAGGAGGGGGTGGTGGCAATGGTGGGTAGCGGCAGAAGGAAGTGAGAGAGAGAGAGAGAGAGATGAAAAGAAAACGCAAAGAAAAAAAAAAAAAAAAATGAAAGGGGAAAGAAGATAGGGGCAAAGTGGTCATTTCATGATAGTATATATTTTGATTTTTTTTAATAAATTAAAAAGTAAGGGTAAATTAGTAATTGTGCTCTTCAGTTGGTCGGAGACTATCTCCCAATGGCCTTTAAAGAGGCATTTTGCTTACTTTTGATAGTTCAAAAGGGCAAGTAACTTCAAAAAATAGTTCAGGGAGATATTATATAACATTGGAATAATTTGAGAGGATTTGTTGCTCGTTTACCGATTAATAATCAAACGATTACGGAGAAATTAGGCATGGAGTCTATTGGCAATAAAATAAGATAGTAAACTTGTATGGTATCACACATAACTTGTGAGGAGAGGAAGAGAAGAAGAATGATTTGTATAAAAAGAAAAAAAAGTAATAATAAGTGATTTTAAAAAAAAAAATCTAGTAGAAGACATGATTTATGATAGAAAATAATGAAGAAGGAGAAATCATGTGGCCGATCTCATTTGTATGGATAAAGGTAATGATTATGATAATGACGATGAATAGTGAGGGCAAGTCTTGGAGAAATTATTCATTGCAACGGTGACGTGGTGTAACAGACGACTACAAACACTTCACCAAAATAAATTTATCAACTTTTTTTATTGTACTATAAGTTCACTTTATTTTGGTAGAATATTTGTAGCATTGGTGCAATGGTAAAATTATTCCATTGTCGATATAGATGACATTGTTCTTTAAGATATGAAAACAATCTCTCTCCACGTACATCTCTAAATCTAATATCTCATAGTTTTATTTGCCACATAAATTTGGAAGTTTTCTTCTTCAGTTATGGTCTTTCCGCCACTATTCATAGTGTTCTATAGAGAACTTGTACAAGATAAGAACGATGGTTGGACAATGGATGTATTTTTTACTTTCATTTGATGTAAAGAGACCTTATTGGAATTGATCTAAAGTGCTATTCACCAATCTGACGCTATGGGTGTCAATTTTACCTCATAAAAACATTTGGGGAGCCATTAAGGGCGCCGGATGGGGCCTGCTAATAGCTCTCACTTGAAGCACAGCTCGGGGCGCGTCGGTGTAACGGGTGAACACTTACTCATTTATTTAAAAGTTTAAATTGTTAAGTAGTATTATATACTTACGTATTTATACACATATTTAATTTACACTCTCGTTTTCAAAGCTCTCTAACCTCGCAAATTTTTGAAGTACATGATTATTAACACCAATAACTTCGCATGAATAAACAGCAATGCATTGGACATCATTCGCTTCAACCTTAAGGAGCTATTCCAAAGAATACTGGCATTAGCACACAAAGCGTCATTGCTCGGGAGCTCTAAGGTGAAAACAAGGGTTTTCCAGACATGAAAGATTGAATTAAGGGCTTGCCATGGCGGGGCGAAAGGGCTTGACCCTTACGCTTGCATCCTCATCAGTATCTCGGACATATTTACTATGTGGTGTCCTTGACCAATTGATAATCACACTTTTCTTTAAAATTCTTCATTTTTTTTTTTTTCGGTTATCAAGACAAATTAAGAGTTTCAATGAACACTGATGTATAGCTAATGTGCTTACATGACACCACATAAGGAATGTTATAAATAGCAGTGCAATGTGACGTGACAAGGCAATCTGTTTTGATCTGCCTCAAGATTTTGGCACTGTCCCTTATTTATTATTTATTTATTACTCCCTCTGTTCCAAAAAGAGTCATGGATTCTAATACATGACACTCTTTGTGGGACGAACGGAGTA